TTCTTAACCGTAGTGAGGAAGCTTCCTAATTGCTTATTAAGATGTTGCCTGGAATAAAAGGGTTAACAAAAATTAATCCTATGACCTTGCTGACTGAGAAGCGACTTTATTCAAACTCCTTATAACATTATTAACTCATGGGGTATATAGGAGTATACCAGATCCAATGTAAATGTGAACTTCTAAAAAACATTGTTATTTACTGAGTTGAGTACTCTACCAGGTAGTTGGAATTGCATTTTTGTAAATTGCAATTCATAATACGCAGTAGCACAAAAGAATGAGAGCAAAATATAAACACTGAAGGGCCACCAAAGCCACTGGCTTCCCTGAGATGAGATGGTCCATACCTTTTCTTACCATCTCTACCTACCTAGCCTCATTTCCCAGAATCGTGCATCTCAAGAATGCTTGTGGATGTCAGAAACTGTGACTGGAATTTACAAGACTCTTGATGTGCATGCTGTGTTGCCTAGTTTATATCCTTTTAAAAATATCCTTTTAAAGTATAAAACATAATGACTTGATATACATATACATTTTGAAAGAATACCCCCATCGAGTTAATTAACACACCTACCACACCTCATATATTTACCTCTTTTGTTTTGGTGAGAACATTTAAGATCTACTCTACAGTATTATGAACTACAGTCACCATGTTATACATTAGGTCCTCAGATCTTGGCCATCTTATAACTGAAAGTTTGCACCCTTTTACCAGTATATATCTTTTCTTAACTTAAAGTTGGCCTTGAATAAAGCCTATTGTGTCTTATGTACTTAATTGTCATTCTGAGCCTATAATGCAGAGTGGGAGCTACAATGACTTTGGGTGAGATGTGTATATTTTACATGATAAGTATGTATTTATCAATTCTTATTCATAATGTTCTTATTAAGAATGGATATTGAATGACAAAAACATTTTTAGCACTTAAAATGATTGTAACATTTTTCTTCATTAATCTATTTATATGACAAACTTTTAAAATGAATTTCTGTTCTTTAGATTCCACATATAAGTGAGATCATATGGTATTTGTCTTTCTCCATCTGACTTATTTCGCTTAGCATAATATTCTCTAGATCCATCCAGAATAAACAAACAAACACAATGGAAAGACACTCAGAGATATAAAGAAAAACAACAACAACCAAAAAAACTGATGGTTGTTAGATGGGAGGGGGGTAGGGATGGGGAGAAGATAAAGGGGTTAGAAAGTACAAATTAGTAGTCACAATATTGCCATGGAGATATGAAAGACAGTTTGGGGAATATAATCAACAATGTTGTAAGGATTTCGTAGGGTGTCAGATGGGTACTTGTCTTATTAGGGATACCACTTCATGGACTGTGTAGATGCCTGACCACTGCACTGGACACCTGAAACTGAACTAGAATAATATTGAATGTCAGCTATAAATATGCTGTATATATGAGTATAGTTATGGGATGTAGAGTACAGCATAGGGATTGTAGTCAATGAAATTAGAACAGCTATATAGGATGTCAGAGGGGTAGTGGTGGGGGGTTCACTTTGTGAGGGGTATAAATGTCTAACTATTACATTGTTTTGTACACCTGAAACTAATAAAAAATAAAATGAATTTCCTATTATTGAACTATCCTTGTTTTCCTGGAGTAAATCTCATGTAATGACGTGTTAATCTTTTAAATGTGCAGTTGGATTATCTTTGCTAATTTACTTATTTTTTCATGCATAAGCATATGTATTGATCTGTAGTTTTCTTATGTAGTGTAATTTAATCTAGCTTTATCACCTACTATATTCATTCATAAAAAGTTTAGAAATGTTTCTTTGTGTTTTTTTGGGAACAACTTAATGGTATTGGCATTATTAGATCTTTGGAGATTTAATTGACTACATTTGTGAAAATATCTGAGCCTGGTTCATTTGTGTATGGTATTTATTTTATAACTTTACTTCTTCTATAGAAATGGGTCCATTTAACCTTTTTTTCTCTGCTGTGGTCAATTTTTGTAAAATCATAAAACATAATATAGAGCCTGTATTGGAAAGAAACAGAAAATTTTAACATAGCATTTAATTTTTGTACTGACCAAATTTCCACATTAAAAAAAATGGCAATTCTTGTAATATAATGCATGGATCATTATATAGTACCCTCGAATTTAAGCCTATGTTAATATTTACTTTTGGATTATTAATGATTAATAATGCAATGATTTATATTATAATGAAAGCACCTTATAGACTTAAACAGGGAGTTCAGCAATACCTTTAAGTTGCAGTACCCCAAGAAAGATGATGTGAACTACAACAGCAGTATATCAAGCATAGCCAGTGCATTAATGCCAATGTGAGATTTTAAAAAATTTTATGCACATGTATGCATATATATGTACATACATATAATGATAGATTATATAAGTAGGTAGGTAGATAAAATAGAAACAGGTAAATAGAAAGATTGATGGCTATATCAGTTTGAAGCTCAGCTACTTGTTTAGAAGCACAGATTATCATACATGTTATTAAAACACCATTTTATTGATTATCAGGTCTTCATCAAACTTGTTTATCTTCTGAAAATCCAAGTGGAATGATGTATCTTGACCCTATCTTATTGTACTATAACAATTTATTCCACTTACTGGAAGTTTGTCATAATAAATATGCAAATTGCCTATTTTGGGATTACACAGTTATTAATAAAAATATGAAAATATGTTTCAAGTGAGTGGGGAACCCTTAGATATTCTATTCTCAATCTGAGTAGCCAGATCTGTCCAGCATTTTTAGTGAAATAATAATTTTACCTTTAACTTACATTCTTCCTTTTTCCAAAAGGATCTGCCACAGCCATGGGGAAGTGGTGTCAAAGATAAGTCTCATGTCTAATCATTGTCTACCATCTGTTGACTAAATCTTGATATCTCCGTACTTCTGGCTGAATAATTTATTTTTGGGATATACTTATCTGTACAATTCTCTATTCCCTTAGCTCTCTCTCAGGATTCCTTTCAGTGACTCATAGTAAGATCATTTTCACACCCACCTCACCAAATGCCCAGATATATAAGAACACCAGTGTCAACCACAGTTTCCTCTGAAACTTTCTCCTTTCTCCAGATAACACACTTTTCTTTATGTAAACTTTGTTCTTTCCTTTCTCCCTTCCAACTCTCCCTCCCTTCTTTCCTTTATTGCCTGTCATGCCATATTGCACAAGAGGAAGTAAATGTTGGATAGGTACATATGAAGAGGGAAAACATTTGGTTTATTAAGCTTTGAAAAGGCCATCTGGAGAACCTAAAATGATGAAACAGTAGAATGTGTAACACTAATCTCTCTCATGCAGTTAATGACAATATAACTTCTGCACAATTTATTAGGGTTTCTGTTTATTTGTTTTCATTATGCGAATAGATCCATTGATATTTCACAATACTTTGTATTTGGAACTCAGATTTTGAATATCTAAATTCCATTTAAGTTATATAATCTTTAAAAGTGAGACCCTTCAAAATATGAACAGTTTTCAAGTTTTTCATTTTAATTTAAGCAAACCTGAAGGTAATCATAATTAAAGCTGGATGATAGCAGTTGGTCTATTCTGAGCCAAAAAAGGGCACCATTCTTTAATTTGTAAAAGAAGTCATTTGCAATTGTTGATAGATATTTGATTTCTAATACTTATTTTAGGTATTAGAAAATGCACAGTTGATAAAAAAATTATTTAGTGCAAGTAGAAATAACAATGACCTATTTTAAAAATTGCATTGATAATAATTTAAATGTTAATGGAAATTCTCATACATCTACACAATGTATTCTTCTCTTGTGGAAATGTTTTTGTTGTTATTATTTCTCTGACTTATCTGAGTTTGAATTTATTGTATATAATTTGAATTTAGCTTTTCTACCATTTATATTTACAATCTGTTCCCAGGGGCAGCAGTTGACTTTTGTAAATCAACTTATTAATTCTACAGGCAGATTTATTTTAAATAATTATACAACCTCTGCTTTAGCTGCATTCACATTGATTCTGTAAATAGATTCAACATTAATATGAAAATGTAATTGTATCTACAACTATAATGTTACTCTGTACATTCTTTGAAAATGACCAATCATATAGTATCTATGAGTACAATTTGTTAATATACCATCTGTGATCTTTCTTCATGTAAAAAAGAACATGGAGAGATTCTAAGAGGTTGATGTCAGATACCTGTATGGACATTGGCATTCTTAGCCCTTTCAACCAGACGTAGGCAATTCAATATGATAGTGATGTTTGCCTTTGGCTGGAGTGGGTCCTAAGGCAAATAAGGGTAGAATACTTGGTGCTGTTTTATACACACTTTTATATGGGGATATAAGAGGCAGTGAAGTATGTGGCTGTGGGTATTTTCTCTTGATGTGCTGCTTAGAATGTACAGGGATCCAAACATGAAGCTCTTGCTTCACATAATGTTCTTTGTTTATCCTTCAAGTGTGTCATCTTTTTATTTATCCTCATTTGGTTTAAAACATTCTGTCAATTTCAGACTGTATCATCATGAAACAACTGTATCAAACTGGGATTGGATGTTCTAGTTTGATTTTTAGTTTGCACTGAGCCTTTGGGGCTATTGCTGAGTGTCTTAGCTATTCAACAACAACACATGAAGGGTGTAAGCGACCTTTTCCGTCTTATACTACAAGAGACCATTTTAAACTTATTTATTAGAAAGTAAAACCTCAGTTGACTCATTCATAATATACTGAAGTACTTAGATGTTTTGGAACTGTATAGAAATTGATATAAATCCTTTCACATGATCTGCATAGGCACAGTTGACATCAGGGATAGTTTTGGTTATATTACAGTTTAAGGACTATTTATATAGGCCCACGGTTTGTACAGTTTTGTGTGGTCTTTCCATTACACAAACTTAGTTTCCTTATAGGTAATTTTTGTAACATTTCACTGTAAGTTTATTTATTTTAATTTTTCTTTTTTAGGAAATGTACCCAAGAAGAATTCTGAAAAAATATACTCAGTCGCCCTGCTGTGATTAAACGAGACACTGCTATATGTTGTAAGTTCATCTATTTTTATCCTAGATTAAGAAGACTTTCTGCTGCAGAGAAACACTTTTATTTTTAATTTGGAATTAGAGTAGAATTTTGCTTTAATGGAAGACTTAATTGATTTTATTCTTTTCAAGCTTCCTTTTACCTGAATTTTTTTCAATTTCAGTGAATAGTGAAAAGCATTTCTTTTTTAGATGAACTCTGTTTCCTTTTATCTGTTAGCCAATATTTTAATGACTTGTGATAAGAACTTTATCAGTTGATGAGCTAGTTTAAAGAGGCAGTGCTGTCAGTAATACTGATTTGGCCTGTGCCAATATATTGTTAATTATAATGTGCTTTATTTCAGTAAACAGATGTATTTGATTTTTTTCTCTGGTAACTGCCTTATGTGGCCTCATGAAGCTAATTAAATAAGGACTGTCTTTAGGAAACATATTGATTTTATCTTGTTAAAATACTTGGATTTCACATTCAAGTGTTATAATATTCATCTTGATGAGACATCTACTAGAAGACTTTGATGTACTAGAATCTGTCTAATACTCAATGACACAAAGCCAACAAACAAAGGCTATTGTGTGGAAAGTCATGCATGGCATTAAATTCAATGTTTCCTGAACCTTCAAATTTATAACCCTCTGATTACATCAAAATTGAGAAATTCTGCTATTTCAGTTTTTAAAACACAGTATAAAGCGAATAGATCTTCCTCTCTTTTACAAGCTGCCTTCTGATACTGAGATAAAATAGTCCCTTTTCATGTAATTAGTTTTCTATGACAGACCCAGTAGATTGAGAGAATGACATTTGTCATTTGCAACTTTTCTTCCTTCCTTCCTTCCTTCCTTCCTTCCTTCCTTCCTTCCTTCCTTCCTTCCTTCCTCCCTCCCTTCCTTCCTTTCTTCCTGCTTTACATTCAGGCAGACTATTTCCACCAAAAAAGAGAATAAATATGTTATATCCCCCATAATAAACGGATGGGGCATCAACTAGATGAAAGATGTACCTAAAGATCTGTAGTCAGTGGCACAGTAACCATCTCAACTGCTCTTTATCAGAGGTATTTTGTTACCATAGTATTTTTGAACAACTTAATTAGTGCTGAATGTTATTACACGAGAGCACACTTAAAGGTTACAGCAGATTACAAAACCTATACAGTAATTTAGAGGGTATAAATCAGTTCTAAAAGATTTTGAAATTGGTGGAAAACCACATACAAGAAATGAGGGAAAATTTGTAAAGACTAATATTAACGTATCTCATGAAGAAGAAACGAAGATTGTGTAGATTAACAACAACAACAAAAAAAATCCTTTATCTTAAATTTAAACTATGGTACAGTGATTCCATTTTTTTCCTAAACTCTATCCATTTATATTATTATTTTTCTCCATGGAAACTGGAGTGTCCCTTTAAGTCATTGTATTTAATAAAAATGACCAGTTCTCTATTTTTTATTAAAGATTTATCTATGTTTGTATCTAGCTCCTAAATTCCAATCTTTTATCATGGAGTAGCAACAGCATTAAAATGACTTTATACAATTTTATATTAATCTATTCAGCTAATGAAGAAGCTGACATATATAGAGGAGGTGCAGGAGAGAAATAAAAATTGTGTTTTAAAATTCTCAGCAATATGTCTGTGATGAAAATGTAAATGAAGTAGAATAATTCCATTTGAATAAGAAAACAAGAGTGAAATATCTTAGTATTATTGTTCATGTATGTAAAGAGATATTATAGAAAAGGGGACCAATTCTTTATTTTGTAGTGATTTAGGAAAACAAACAAACAACTGAAGTATAATAAACCTGCACTATTATCAGTATAAATTTCATGCTGTGCGAATTTGTAAGCACTAAAATAACTACAGTTAGAACTGGGAAAATCCTTTAGTTTGAAAGATCTTTTAAAACAAAACTAATCCTATTTTGCAGGAACTATCTGAGAGAAAAAATGCCCATTTATCTAACGTGAGAAATGTCTCAAGCCCAGTTACTGTTTTACATTCTGGTCCTTAGCTTCCGTCAGCATTGGCTTTGCTTTTCTGAGACCATAAGGAGGAGGAAGTTAATGGGTTTAGCAAAACACCTGCTCAGAAATGGTCCCAGTTGAATAACTGTCCAGTCCCTAATGGAGAATTCATATGGTTTTCTCTAAGGGTATAAAGGATGATCAAAGCAGACCCTCTGTGATTAGAATGAAAACTTCCCTGGGAGCTACGCTAATTTTGCTGGCTGGACTTCATCTAAACAAATGTTTTAATGAGCACATTAAAAAAAAAAATCACACCTATCTTTTTGCAGTTCATTATTGATATTTCCTTAAGAAAGGATTATACTTCGCAAGGTAATGATACCTTTCAACAGAAGCTATTTTTCTGGAATTTTAGACAATGAATTATTTCAGCTTAGAAATAACACTATCTTCTGGCTTAAAAAGCTAGTTATTTTATAGACTTTCTTTTCCCAGAAACTCAGTAGAGATGAAATCAGCATATATTTTTTTCAGGGTTTTAAAATTTATTTATTATTTATTTTTTAATTTAAGGAATTCAGTCAAATGAGTATTTGTTCTAAAGCTGTGGGGAATAAAAGAAAAGTGCAAATTATCATTGCTTCCAAATTACTATAATCTCATTGTGGAGAAAAATCAATTGTATAAAAATTAAATATAGGATTAAATTCAGTAAAAAATGCAGACTGTATTATGACCCTCTCACCTCCCACACCATTTTAAGTCTATCATTTGTGTGTCACATACATATTCAAAGAGATAGAGAAAACAACAACAATAATGAATGAATGAAATGCTGCAGTTATTCAGAAAATCAGTGTAATTGAAATTCAGAAATACAATATAGGTAAAACTTAATAGACACTAAAGGACTGATAGGATAAGGTAAGAACAATGGACTTGACTCTAGAATTTGCTTAGGATGTATGATGCATCCCAACTTCAAAGGTCTTGGAAAGAGAATTTTATGAAATGACTAGTGGGAAGCAAAGCTAAGTAGGTAAGTTTGGTCTAAACCATGAAAGGTCTTAATTCTGTGCTGGGTAGCCTATGCTTTAGCCAGTGAGTGGGAGGTGGTGACAAGATATTTCAATGAAATTCTCTCCTATAAATTACTGAATAATTGATATGGGGGAAAAGGGTGAAAAAAAATCAAAGATGGTGCCGTATGTCTAACTCTGAATAAGTGGGGAAATGGGCAGTGAATGGGAATCTGAAAATTAAGAGGTTGAGTGGAGAGGGCAGTTTGTACGAATGATATGTGCATTGAGATCGTCCAGTTAGTGAAATATCCTCAGCTGGTTTTCCAAGAGCTTCGAATCTCTGCTTATATTTCTATGTCAGCCTTATTCTTTTTGTTTTTTATGTCATTGGCATTTTTTTTTATAGTAAGACAAAATAGGTCATGTGTACTTATTGTCATTCTATACTATCACTACCCCTCTAGTTTATCTAAAAGTGAATTTTTAAATGAATAAACTTAGGGGTTCTTGAAATGTGGAAAGAAATGTTAATTCATTTTTGAGTACTTTTTACACACATGAAGTCCAGAGGTACATTCAGGAGTGAGTAATTGTTTGCTTCATTAACGATCAAACAGTTTGTTTTATAACCATGGACATTTTGTAGGAACAAAATGGATTTGATTCTTTGTTTCATTTACAAAGCTTCCTCTTACTTTCCTAAAAGACACTTGGTCAGAAAGAGAGAACTATGAAGTTGTATCCTAGACATTTTATTTGTTGATTTGCTCATTTACTAATAGGCACATATTTATGATGTGACCAGAAATAACTTAGACGTTCTCAAACGTTTATATTTATATAAACGTTATTATATAAATGATACTTATCCTGAAATTTTAAAAATGTATTGAACTATTTAAGTGATATTTGTAAAAATACACATAGGGTATATGAGAGTAGGACAGATGGCATAGGTACCATAAAAGAATGAAAAATAATAATATTTTCCTATTGATGTAAAAGAATGAAAAATAACTTCATATTTTCCTAAGTAGCAGAGACTACTAATTTAGAATAAAAATATTTATCAGTAATTTTCAAGAGTGTTGTAAGATCAATGAGACTTGTCCATGTGGACCATTTTGGGGCCCCAGCAATCAGTTGTGATAAAGTAGAATTAATAAGAATTATTTCAGCAATACAAACTAATATCTGTTTTTAGATATATTTTTGCCATTTTATTTTTAACATATATTACAATATATATTTTTAATGTTGTTTAAGCTAAAAGGCATTGGTGGTAATTAACAAGAAAAATACAGACTATGAACCAGAAACCACTGATACATGATGAATATCATGAGCCAGGCTCAAAATATCATGAGCCAGGCTCAAAATTGGACAGGAGATGGTTATATCAAAACAAAACACAACGAAACAAACAAACAGATGTGCTGGGGAAAGCTATAGCATTTCCGTAGATAGCTTTGAGTTTGTTAGACTCATCTTGTCTAAAGAAGGGCTAGCAGTTCAAGAGAAACGTTTTTCTCCCTCATGTCTTATGAGGATGGTTATACATTTGAATGACATAATGGCATGTATTCTCAATAGAAGCTGTAAAATATAGGAAAGATTTTCCACATATGGTTGCTTCTGGTATTTCAGCCTTTGGTAGATGCCTTGAATGACAATTACACGAGGAAACAAAGTGATTAAGTCAGCTTTCTGATTATTTAGAAACGTGGGGGAAAGCCTGAAGAATCGTAAAGGAGTAAAATAGTTGTCAGCTTTTTTTAGACAATTATCTTGAATGTCAACGGTTTCCAGCAGGCTTAAGATAGGAGTTTTATGGCAGGCAGCTCATAAGTGAGTGTTTAGTGAATATCTGAAGGGCAGGAATTTTTCATTCCTGACTGAGAAAGCACCTCTATGCTGTAGATATCAGCCATGTTGAAAATAAAGATATTTTATTATGAAAGTTAAAGGTTATGAATTCATTCATTGAGGTAACACATA